GTTGGGGGGGGGGTTATTTGTCCCCTCAAAGAACAAAACAGTAGGAGAGTAGAGGGGAGAGAAAAGGATGGAAATTAAAGCCATTTTCCTAAATGGATACAGACACTGTGGATATAAAAGAAAAACAGCTAAGACATTTCACTGTATAGAAAGTTATCCAAAAGCTGAGAGGAACACAGATGGAAATACAATACTTAGGGGACACTGTATATGTATCTTGATAAGCGTGACAGCAAAATTTGGGAATGGTTAATGGAGATGGTTGAACAATATGACGACGCTAATTAATGTTCCTGAACTGTACATGTGAAGCTTGTAGAAACGGCAAGCATTACCTACATATTTTTAAAACACACATACACTTACCAAAGAACTCATTATCCTATTATATTTACTTGCAGTTTGCCCCCAAGATTCTTCCCTCCTAAGAAACACTTACCCTGACAGACTTCCTCTGTCAAAGGAATCGGCAAAATACACTTCCCCTGTTGGAACTGGAGCTTTGTAGACAACCTGTGTAAAGTATAAAAATGAATTAGGAATTAATATTTCAACATTTCTTTCTTAGTAGGATTTATTTTCTTGGTCTGCTTTCAATTATCACAAAACTTTTCATTGCTTGCCCTTGAATTCAATCCAAATAATTTACAGTTGTCTGCCAGAGAACAAACTGCTTTCCCTTGCAAAAGCACCAAACATATTTCCCTACATTGATTATCTCAAGAAGCTTTAGATTGTTTCATACCTTTGGAGATGGAGGAATACTGTTATCTGGTTTTGATTTTGAGTCTTCTACCTCTTCAATGACATCATCCAGGTCATCATCAATATCAATCACATCGTCATCGTGGCCATCATGAGCTTGAATGGCAGCAGTTCCAAGTACCAATAACATGCACAATAGCCACTTCCCTTCCATGGTCTACACATAACAAGAGTAAAGTTGAGTGCACTGCCTCCATTAGGTTTTCTAAAAACGACCATACTGTTTTATTTAAAATTAATGCCTTCTAATCACAGAACTGAAAATAGACAATCGCCCAAAGTTAATAAGCAGTCCTAAGATAAGTTCAAGAAACTTCAAGAAATTTCCAAAATACACCTCAAACATATACAATTGTGCCCATATAAAATATTTTTTTAGCTACAGACTAAGGGTATTCAAATACGAAAGTAAACTAGCTTCTTGCATTTGTAAAGGCTTTTACAATAGATAAGTCCTTCTACATATTAACTTATAATGCATATTAAAAATATTTCACACAAAAAAAATTTCACATGAATGCTGTTCAAAGGTCAAATGCTGACAAAGGTTTTTAATTATTGTTTTAGTATTTTAAAATTCAACAATCATAAGCCAAGGACTTAATGGCCTTTATCTTATTTCTTAAGCATTTCCATGTCAAAGATGGATGTGGGTCTGTCATGAACCTATTCTCTTTCCAAAGACCACAGATCTAATGAGACAAAACATGGAGTCACATGATGCACAAAATGGTTTGGTGGTAGAGTTTTATTTTAAGGTGGTAACTCCAAAGGTTGGCTCCAACCAAGCATTTGGCAAAGTAAAAGATAGAGTGTGCTTTTCCCTTGGTTTTCTCTACTCCCATCTTAGCAACTCAACCCTAGCCTTCCATTCTCCATTATTAGCATCAAGATGCTTTTGGTGTTTTGCATTACAGTTTCTAAGTTCCTCTTGGAAGCCATCATAATACCCAGATGACAGTCTCATCACCCAGAAAACTTTCATAAGAGCCCATTTGGGTAGCTAGTAATCAAAAGTCCTCTCTCATTCTGATCCACAGTCATCCAAAGATTCTTCCACTCTAGTCAAGATACCTCCCCTATCACCTACATACATAACCTAAGCTCATTATTCATTTTATGCATTGGTCTGCTAAGTCAGTGGTTCAAACCCAGCAGCCATACTGCAGGAGAAAGATGAGGCCTGTCTGTTCCTATAAAGACTTACACCCTTGAGAAATCCCTTAAAGAGCAGTTCTAGTCTGTCCTTTAGAGTCACTGAGTCAGAACCGACTCAATGGCAATGGGTTTGGTTTCTTCATGAGGTTCTGCTAACATGATACACTTCAAAAACGAAATTCAACTAAGCACACCACATGTACTGCTTTTGTTTTAATTTTCTCTTTATGAAAAACTAGGGATTAGGCTTGACTTTCCCCCCTACTGCGAGAACCTGCTTTCCCTACAGGTTGCTTTCTCCTGGGCAATTATGATTCCTTTCAGTGCTCTGAGAGTCACACATGAGCCAACTTTTAGAGCTTACTGTCAGTCACCATGATTAGGACACTAAAAATAATACTGAAGTTAAAAGATTCAAGACAAAATACATGTAACATGACATTCTTATTTAAGCAAGGTCTGCTTAACATGTTTCTACAAATACTCCAACTGCTTTGTCAAAACACATCTGTATTAAAACAAAAAGCAAGCACCTTACCAAAATACCTAACTATGGATTGAAACATGTCATCAATGTGCTGTAAAGTCTAACCTCTGTACGAGGGGCTTATAATCCCCTTTGGGGATATGTCTTTGTTATATTAATGAGTGTATGGTATATCTTGAATCAATCTCTTTTAAGATACAAGAGATTAAAACAGGTAAGCCAAGATTAATGCGAAGCCTCATGGGGATCTCCAAGGAAACAGGAAACATTCTGAAGAGACAAGGACCTTCCCTCCCAGAGAGAAAATTTTCCCTAATTCAGACTTCTTGCCTCCTAAACTGTGAGAAAGTAAATTTGTTAAAGTTACTTTCTCCTGGGGCTTGTGTTATTTCTGTAATAGCAGTATGTATGTAACTTATTGACAGTCATTAACACTAAAGCAGGGCTTCCAAATGGCTTGAAATGCTACTCTTCTTCCCAATGGCTGGGACGGAACCATTCAGACTGGTGCAAAGCCCCGTACTAGAGACTGTGAGCTCTTTTTACTTATAGCAGAGGTCAGCAAATGTCTTCTATAAAGAGGAAGGTAGTAACAATTTTAAGTCTTAGAGAGTCATAAATGTATTCTTTTGCATATTATTTACATTAAAAAAACTTTTAAAGATGTAAAAATTAGTATTAGTCTGCTGCAAAGATTTAAGACTTCTTGAAAGCTCTTCAGTTTATGGTTCTATTAGTAGACAGGAAAATAGAGAACAGAGTAGGTAGGAATAGCAAAACCATACATACTCCTTTGGATATTTCCTCACTTACAGTGCATTTTTTTGTGGACTCTTATAACAGCCTATTAAGCATTGGATGGGCTGCTAACTTCAAGATTAGAAATTCAAAACCAGCAGCTGCTCCACTGGAGAAATATGCATTCTATTCCTGTAAAGAATTATAGTCTTGGAAACCAAAGAGACAGTACTACTTTGCCTTCTAACATCACCATGGGTCGGAATTGACTTGTTGATAGTGAGTTTGATTTGCAGTTTGTTTATAATGTATAATAATTCAGGCAAAGTCCAAAAAAGCAAACAAAAACAGAAGGAGTTCAGGAGTTCCTTTTACAAACTTCATCACCATGGCTTCCGTTTTGCCCAATTAAATTTCTAGAAAAGATTTAATGCCAATTTCCATATAAACCCCGTAATCCTCTAAAGTGAGTAGCTCAAACACAGAGTAGTAGACTTACAGGTATTGAGCTTGGTGGTATTTCCCTTAATTAGTTATCTTGAGACTCATGTTCACAAAATAAAAGAAAGTAAATTTCACAGGATGCTTAAATGTTGAGCACAAAGTCAGTGCAGGGACTAAAGTACTAAATAAAATATCTCATAACCTTTTCCTAGGACTGGTATTAGTTTTTAGGAGAAAATCTCAATGTCAACATTCTGCTACTTTTATATATACTTCAGAAATACCTGCAATCTAAAATTGCATTTATTTGCCGAAAAGGTTTCCATTTTCTACCCTCAAGATAATATACCAACCTTGCTTCTGTTTGATTTACAACTACAACAAGAAATTCTTTAGGCTAAGAATGAAACCCAAAACCAAATCCATTGCCATAGAGCCAACGCTGACTCACAGTGATCACCCTGTCTGTTCCGTTCTGAGGCTTTTAACTATTTACAGGCGTAGAAAGCCCAGTCTTTCCCCTATAGAGTTACTGGTGGTTTCGAACTGCCAACCATGCGGACCGCAGCCCAACAAGTAACCACTATACCATGAGGGCTCCGGTGGATTAAGAATAGGATGAGGCAAACACTTTTATCTAAATTAGCCCTATACAACTAAATTTATCTTCTCATAAAAATAATGCAATAATTGGTATATGAATTCCCAGTGATAGTGCCCAAGTTATTACTAGTAACTGAGTAAACAAAACCCTTGGGTTAAGTAAGGCTAGGTGGTGGTGTAGTGGTTTACAATTGGGGCTGCTAACCACAATGTCAGCAGCTCAAAACCACCATTCACTCCTCAGGAGGAAGATGAGGCCTTCTGTTTCTACTCTCATAAAACTAGTCTCAGAAACCCACAGGAGCAGTTCTACCCTGTTTTACAGAGTCACTATGAATCAGAAGCAACTCAGTGGCAATGTGTTTTGTTTATTAATATTAGAAGCTGCTCTAGTGGAGTACTGGGTTCAAGTTGGTTCGCTAATCAAAGTCAGCAGTTCAAAACCACCATTCGCTCTGTCGAGAAAGATGAGTTACAGAAACACACAAGGGTAGTTCTACTTGGTCCTATCAGGTCTCTATAAATCAGAATTGACTTGATGGCATTGAGTTTGTTTTATTATGGGGTTGTGCTAGAAAGAACCCTACTGGCAGAGTTCTAAGCCAGCAGCTGCTCCTCAGAAGAGATGGAGCTTTCCACTACCATAAACAAGTTACAGTCTCAGATATTCACAGGGGCAATTCTGCCATCCTTAAGGGTCCATAAGTCAGTATCAAGTAGATGACATTAAGTTTAGTTTGGTTATTTTTTATTAGCACTAGAACACGGTTTATTCAAGAAAAGGCTAATCATCCTCCTTGCTTTCTTATAACAGGCTTTAATCTTATAAGTATGGTTCTCCCTTTGTTAATGCTATTGAAAGTTTTGCCTCATCACCAACCCCCACTGTTTATGTAAATACCATCCAGTCACTTTTATCTGTTTAAGTCAACAACTCATGTATTAGTTTGAAGTCAGCCTATCCTTGTATAATGTCCTTTTCTCATCAGTGTTTTAAATTCTATACCATTGGCTAAATTAATGACACTATCAGTACAATTACCTTATACTCCCAGGGGGATTATACATAATGTTCTCCATCATAAAATGATAATGTCTCTAAAATGAACCAGACATATAAAAACCATAGATATATGGATAGATTTGGGTTGACACTTACTTCCAGTCCTAATCTGAAAACATTTAGTTCTACGACATGGCCCTGCTTGATGCTTGCCCTCATGAAGAAATAATTGGAGGTGTGGGTGCTATAGCACAGTGTGGTAAAGAAACCAGATGGTGCCCAGCTACCAGAAATAGCAGCTGGATATTTAAGGGCTTCTCTTAAAACAAGCAGCCACCTAAGTGAGATGCCAACTAAGCTCACATAGAGAAGTACACCAGCCTGTGTGATACAAGGATTGTAAATAAAACCCAAATCTGAATAATAGTATCAGAGTTCAAATTATGAAAACCCAGTTCCCAGAAGGCTATGGATGACAGTGGAAGCCCAAAATCCATTTGCAGGGCTCTCACAAAGTCTCTGGTCGAAGGAATGAATATCCTGGCTGTCATACAGAGAGCACTGCTAAGATGATTATGTATGACAGATGTCGTTAGGCTAAAATGTAATATCCTATATTTGATTTCCCCTTTGACTCATTTTAAAGTCACTTAAGTTTTTCTCTCTGATTTTTCTGTTTTGTCTGATTTTTTTTTCTTTCTTTTTTTGGCGGGGCGGAGGGGGG